CCGTCGTCGGCCCCCTCCTCTTCTCTCCTTCTTATTCCCCCCTTGCCCTGGCACTCGGGGCGTCGGGCATTCGGGGCGTCGGGCGTCCCGATTTACACGACTTGGCCAGCGCCACGCAATCCCGCCGACCCCCGACGATCGACGATTTTTTGTTTAGGTTTTTTCGCTGGTGGGGGATGGGGAAGGGCGGAGCGGGTTGAACGTTTCCTGAATGTTCGTTGTCATGTCCCGAAATCCTATGGATCATGTGGCACAGCAGGTGGTGTTTTGGCGTAAACCTGATGTTCGCCCCCCTAGAGCAAGCAATGTGAAGGTGGAGCGCCTCTCTGATCCGACCCATGGCCTCGGGCGGCGGGGCGTCCTCATGCAACCGCAACTCGTCCCTCAAAGTCTGTAAGGCCTTCCCTGCCCCAAGAAGCAGGGCCCCGAACGTGTTCGCGCCCCCGTACTTCATAAGCTGCGACAAAGCAAAATTGATGATCGTGCCCACCTCCGCAGCTTTCAGGGACATGGGGGCCCCCGCGTGGTCTGGCATCTGGGATTGTAATTTCATTGCGCGGCCCCTCCTCCTCCTCCTCCTCCTCCTCCTCCTCCTCCTCATCCTCCCTCCTCCCTCCTCCCTCCTCGGTCAGGTCCCCACGTGCGGTGCGCGCGCGCTCCTGCGCGGCCTTGTGGCCTGGGCCCTGGCGCGCTGGGCGCTCTTCTTCCCCCAACGACCCCGGCGGCGACGAAGACGACGACCACGTCGACGACGAGGGGAGGAGAAGGAATGACGAGATCAACGGGACCTGAGCTGTCGCGGAGAGCAAGCACGGGCGCGAGCGCGCGAGCAAGCACGGTGCGCCTTCGCCGCGTGCTCGCCCACGACGTCGGGGCGAGGCCGGCGGGGCAGAAGCGGAGAGAAGCGTGACTGGCGAGGCGGCGGGAGGGAGAGAGGCGTGACTGAGAATACAGGCAAGCTCGAAACCACACGCCACGTCACATGCATGTGAGTTGGCATGTGATGTGGCTCTCGTCGCCCTCAGCTTTTCTTTGGCACCCCAGGGCACCTCATGTCGCCACGGCTGGGTTCTCTGCGAAATCTAATCAGAACGCGCATCGTTTGTTTTTCGTTTTCGCCGAGCGTGCCCTCGAATCAGGCCTCGATCCCTGTGGAAACACGGGGCGGCGGTCGATCCCCTGGAATTCACTTTGGAGGCGGGGCCTCCTCGCTTGCCGTCGACTCCTCGTTCCTCCGCCCTCTTGGTCCCCCTGCTCCTCTTCCTCCTCCTCCTCCTCCTCCCTCCTCCTCCTCCTCCTCCTCCTCCCCCTCTCCCTCCCCCTCCTCACTCCCCTCCTTCCCCTCCTCGCTCCCCCTCTCTATCCTCTCTATCCTCCTCGACGACGTCTCAAAGCAAGGGCGATAAAATTAGGCTCCTGCAGCGAAGCGCCCTTGCGCTTACCGAGCATGCGCAGCGTCAGGTGCCCAATGCGGCGCTCGCTAGGCACATTGTCGGTCATCCACCTGTCCAAGTCTGCCTTCATAAGGTGCAGCCCCGTGCTGAGGACTTTGTCGATCCCACCTTCCACTCTGTGAGGGTTATACAGCAACACCCTGTTCAACGAAGCACTCACCCACCGCATTGCTGGCCCTATATAGAGGGTGCGCAGAATGTCGATCGCCAGGGTAGACGCTGGCGACGTGAACAGACTTCTACAAAAAAGTGGGCATCTGTCATGCACGCAATCAGCCACCCTGCCTCTGGAATCCATCCTTGCGCGCCACAGAGTAACGCTGAGAGGCAGCTCCCGCTTTTCCAAGTCGCCGATGTTGAGAAGGGAGTCCGACGGGATCAGCCGGTCACCCTGAGCGATAGATGTACCATTCACTATGACGTCATTGTTCACAACTCGCCCACCGTGTCCTTTCTTGGCGATGGTCCATTTTAAATGTTTTGAAAGCGTGCGGACGTGATCTGGCTCCGTCAGGTCAACGTGTATCTCGCAACGCGAGCACGCATTGTCGTAAGAATCGTGAGTCTTCAGATGCCACGAAGGGTTGTCCTGGTGCATCTCGTGTTCGTGATTGCTAACTTCCTCTTTTGTACATTCACAAAATTGGCATGGTGCATACACCGACGACCACGGGCTAAGGCCGAGGGAGTGCGTGTGTTCAGCCCAGTCCCCTTTGATATAAAGTAGAACGCACGTGAAATCTAATGTTTTGCCAGGGTTGCGTTCGTCACCCAATGGAGATCCATCGTGGTAGTGCGTCGGTATCTTGCCCTCTTGCATGGCACGAAATTGCCATCTGATTTGGTGGAACAACGGGTAGTGCGTACAAAGCCCTCTGCAACCGCACTTGCAGGAGACTTGGTCTTTGACCGCCGATATAAAGTGGCGACGGCCTGTGATCAAATTGATGCACCAGAAACCTAATGCGGTGTCGCATCGACCAGCTGCTTGCGCAATGTACTGCACCCCGTCGAGGTAGAACCCCAACGGGATCGGCTGCATCTTGCCTTCCACCACAGCTTTGCGCACGAAGGGGTGCTCTCGATAGGCGGGCACCTTCAAGACGGGGGCAGCGTTGTTTCCCAAAACCGATGTGATGTGACCGCGGTGCTCATTGAATTCGGCCCCGATGGAATCCCACAACACTTTATTGGGCACGTCGCGGACGGCGCGGCCATGCACTTGGTCGAACATCGGGGTCTCCACAGACATGAATGACCCAGACGGTGGCGGTATCTTGCGGTCCAGGTGTTTCTGGAAGTTCCCCGTCGAGTTAGATGGGTCGAGGGCGTATGTCTTCCATGCGCCACCCTTCAGTCCAGCTTTGGATCCCCAGTGGCACAATATACTTAAGTCTTTGGCGCTGATCTTACAGCTCGCATACATAGTTAACAACACCGTCAACATTTGCGACCCCGCCTCCCGCTCAGCTTCTGAAGTTGACACCCAAGCCCTCGGCCCGGGTGGCGTGCGAGACCTGTCGTGCGATTCCATATTAGAAACGACGAGCTTGCCTGCAATGATCTGAGACACGCGGCAGCGGCCAGGTGATAATGATTGTCCGATGACCGCATCCTCCTTCTCCTCCTCCTCCTCCTCCCCCTTCCCCCCCTCCCCCTCCCAAGCCTACTGTATCCTCCTCCTCCTACTCCTACCCCTACTCCTTGCCGAAACAAACTGAAACACGCTTGCTCACTATTACGTTTCTGACCCAAAAAACACCTTAGTGAGCAAGAGCTGTTTTTGGAGTTGAGTTTGCGGGCTGGGTCCCTGGGCCTGTGGGATGACTTAGGCGACGACGGGAATGAGAAATGCAGACATGGTCAAGGGGGTGGGCATCTTTTCAAGCTGCCCTCAGGCGTCGTCGCCCCCCTGCGGTTCGATACCGATCCCCTGCTCATCCGTGATGGCTGTCGCCGCTCCTAAGACCCAGTCGGATGGGGTGAGGCTGCGGGCCGCGGCTTCCTCATTGCTTCTCCTGCTTTGCCTCTTCCGTCCGCTCCTCCTTCTTCTTCACCTTTTCCTCCACATCCTTCATCACCTCCTTCATGGGCTTTCCCACGGGACAGTAATAATAATATTTATCCCCTTTGACCAGACCAGCGGCGCGAGCTCTGTCACAATAATCCAGGGTTGCACGATACGTCTCATCTGTTTCACGTTTGGTGATCTCTGCTTCTTCGGGCTGCTGCTCTGTCTCGGGATCCACTGGCTTCTCACGCTTGTCCTTATGGGGGCCATGTCCCTCCACTCGTACCCCTCCCTCCGTATCATTCTTTGCTATGCCCCGTTGAAGGCCCTCGTGTCTTCACGAAACATAATTTTCCGCTCGTGTGTCTTTCTCATTTTCTGTGTTGCTTGTTCTCTGATTTCGTTTAGCCTGTTATGCCTGGCACTCTTGTGACCATCGGGGCTCTGGAAAGGACGTGAGGCCCTTGGGAGGGGAGAGGGAGGAGGGAGGAGGGAGGGAGTAGGGGGGAGGAGGGGGAGAAGGAGGAAGGGGAGAAGGAGGAGTAGGAGGAGGAGGTAAAGGAGAATGACCGCTTTCGAGTCTGACCCATGTCCTGCTCCCATGAAGAAGACATCGCCCACTCCCGAGGAGAGGGCGTTCGCGGCGACCCCGAGCTGCTATTTGCGCCGATACTCGATCATTGTGCGGAGGGAGAGGAAGAAGAGGAGGAGGAGGAGGAGGAGAAGGGGATGAAGAGGATGAAGAGGAGGGGGAGGAGGAGGGGGAGGAGGGAGAGGAGGGGGAGAAAGGAATGACGACGACCTGGCACGAAGCATTCTCGCACACTTTCAGCTTCGCATCGAAAGATCTCCCACAGCAGACTGGCACTTGCGCCCGAGCCTTGAACTCGGCTGGGCTTCGAAATGAGGCCTGCGCCGCCGTGCCTTACCACGCACAACGCTTGCTAGACTGAAGCTCACTCGAGCCAGCTTTGCACGACCCGAATATCACTCTCTTAAGCCAACTCTCTCACTCACTCTCAACCTGAAACTCACTCTCAAGCTGCGCAACCTCGAAGGGAAGCGCGGGTCGGCTGACTCAAACTCAAACGCACGGCTTCAATCATTTCGTGCAATAGAAAACGCCAGTCTCCTATTTATCGCTCAAAGGCTCTGGATTTTTGTCGAAATCCAAATATTCCCGGCCCCGCCGCCTGTTTCTGGCCTTCCGTCCCGGCCCGAAGAAATCACATGCCAAATCACATGCGTGTGAACTGGCGAGTGAAATGAGTTCACACGGCTCAAACCCTGTAAAAACACAGGTAAAGTAGAGTTCACACGGCTGTGTGTTTCCATGGTTTTCACACGGCTGTCCCCGCGACCGGCCCCTGGAGAAAACCGGCTCCCCTGGAGAAAACCAGCTCCACACTCCTGCGCCTCCTGTTTCACGGCCCCTGGCCCCGCAATCGAGCCTTTGGCACAGAAAAACACGGCGGGTTTTGCCCTCGTGGCGGGCAGAAAGCAGAGACCAGCGGGGATAGACAGAATAGAGCAGCCTACGCCTTCTTGTTGTTGTCCTCCTGCTTCTTCTTCAGCTCGTAGATGCCGTGGACAACCTTCATGGTCGTCTGGATGTCGTCGAGAGCCTTGGCCAGACCCGCGATCTCCTTGATCGCTGCCACGTAGGATTCCGCGCCCACGGTGTTCTTGATCTTCTGGAAGTCCACGCCCATGACCTGGGACAGGAGGCCGCTCTTCATGACCTTCTCTGTCACCGAGTCCATGTGCTCCTTCAGCTGCTTGGCGTCGCTGTCGCCCTTCAGCTTGTCCCAGATAGAATCTGGCTTGTCCATCATCGCCAGAATGTGGCGGCCCTGCTGGGTGTACGACTTGTACTTGTCGTGGTTCTTCTTGGCGGTGAGGATCAGCTGCTTCTGCTTCTCCTCCGCGGCGGCAGCGGCGGGGTCCGCATGCTCGGCCGCCTCCTTCTTGAGCCTCGCCTTCTTCTGCTTCCCCGTTTCCTCAGGAGGAGGAGTAGGAGGAGGAGGAGGAGGAGGAGGTGTAAGCGGAGAGGACGAGGAGGGGAGGAGAAGGAGGAGGAGCAGGAGGAAGAGGAGGAGGGGCAGGGTTGGACGATGTGTCATTCGGCGGCTCGCCCACAGCTGCCGCCCCAGTTTTGCGCTTGCCCTTGCCGCCCTTGTTCTTGGCATCAGCCCCGCCCGTCTGGCTCTCTGGCTGCTGCTCCTGTGCTGGCCTGCTCGGCGGGGCTCCAGCGCTAGCTGGCTGCTGGCCCTGTGCTGGCCCGCTCGGCTGGGCTACCGGCGCCGCGCTGGCCTGGCCGTCCTGAGATGGAGGAGGAGGAGGGGGGGAGGAGGAGAAGGAGGAGGAGGAGGAGGAGGAGGAGGAGGATCGAGAAGGAAGGGCTTGCAAGTCCTGAACCGCCACTGGCTCCCCGTTGCACCACCTCTTGTGCATGGCCCAGGCCTCTGTGAAGACGCGGCTGAATCCCTCGGCTGTCGGGGGGGGGGGGG